AGTAGTAGTAGTAGTAGTAGTAGTAGTAGTAGTAGTAGTAGTAGTAGTAGTAGTAGTAGTAGTAGTAGTAGTAGTAGTAGTAGTAGTAGTAGTAGTAGTAGTAGTAGTAGTAGTAGTAGTAGTAGTAATAGTAGTAGTAGTAGTAGTAGTAGTAGTGTAGTAGTAGTATTAATAGTAGGTTTTTCTTCACTTTTTTTTTTTATTCCTTTTTTATGTTTAAGCATTTTTTTTATTCCTTTAGTTTTTCTGGTTCTGATAATCTAATAGACATCTAAAAATAACACCCATTTTTTTTCATTATTATTTCATATTTGTATTTTTTCATCCTTATCATCTTTTTTTATTTTTATTTTTAGTTTATTCGATCAAGTATTACTTAAAGATTCCTTAAACGTTAGATTGAGAGCCGCGTGACACTTACAGTGAGCTCAAGCGTTTCGCGATCAATTCGCTTCTTCTTTTTTTCTTCTTTTTTTTTTTATTTTTTTCAGGGGCGAGAGGGAGAGGATGGGTAAGAGGAGGAGGGAGGGGGGGAGGGGGAAAAGATCGCGCGCGCGCGCGCGCGCGCGTGTGTGTGTGTGTGTGTATCCCTCGGCGATAACTCGTTCGATCGTTTCGTTCACTTTTGAAACATTGTGTAAAACATTGTGATCACCATTTCTTTTTCCTACGAACGATTTTTAATTTCACAAAATTTGGCGGGAAATTCAAACCGAGTGGCCGAGGCGTGTGATCGAATAAAATTCGCGACAAAACTCTTGAGCTCGGAATGGAATCGCAGCTTGTTTTTTTTTTTTTTTTGTATACCGTCGTTTCAATGATACATCTTACATATATTTCTAGCGGCTGGAGTAACAAGTTTTATTATTATTCTTCTTTTTTTTTTCTTCTTCTTCTTCTTCATCATTTTTTTATTCATTCGTTTTCATCAGCTCAATACTGCATCAATTCATATTGCTGCTGTTGTGTGTCTGTGCCCAAACCGTCATCCACGCGATAAACCATCCACGCTAATTACGCTATACGGTATACCCCCTTTTCTCCCATCCCCCTCCCCTCCTCCTTCCCCCATAACTCTGACCTCCTCTTCATATCTCTTTCCATCATTTTTTTTCACGTACACATGTGCTTGCTTTCTTCCTCACTATGCTCGTGCATCGATCTTTCTCCTTGCGACCCCTCCCCCTCCCCCTCCCCTCTCGCCCCCTCCTCCCCCGCATCCACGTTCCAATCCTAACTATAAAATCTTCAATCTCTCCTCCGGAATTCCTATCTCTTTTTTTTTTTTTTTCTTATATATGTTCGTTATTATCCTCCCCCGTTTCTCTGCTTCCCATATTTTCCCCTTTCTTGTGTTAATTTTAATATCACATTTTCGTGGGAACAGACTGGCCCGATATATCTCTGAAACGTAATCTCGTGTGATCGTTGGTTTGGTTCGAACGAATTTTCCATTTTCATTTAATTCGATAGCGAGGCGTTCGACGCGATTTGGATAAAGGGAAATGGAATAAATTTAAATTTTTGCAAAATTTAAGATTAAGAATTAGAAACGTATTAATGTTAAAAGGATTGAACGATTGAAAGATCATCGCGAGCGCCATGTTTAATTATCAAAAAATTTATTTGTATCGATTTACGTTTCTTCTTTTTTTTTTCCCCCTGATTTTCATCGACATTGAAAATTAAATCGTAATACATCGGGCGAGTATGTCCCTGTTTAATATATAGAATACATACATCTTTATCTCGCTACAAGGTACTACGAACCCAAAAAAACGATAAGATTCATTTCGTTTTTTTTCTTTATTAATTATTTTTTTTCTTTTTTTTTTTTCGTTTTTTCTTGTGTGGTGTGTGGCTTTTTTTTTTTTTTTTTCGTAAAAGATATTTTACGAACACGCGAAACGTACAACAACTGGATGGAGATGGCGAAACGAAAACAAAAATTCGTGAAAATATGCAATACGTTTGCGAGAAATAAAATGGGGAAAAAGAGAATGAAAAAGGGAAGAATTGAAATAAAAAAAAAAAAAAAGAAGAAAGAAAAAGGAATTACAAATTTCACGAAGGTGCGTTCATCTACACGTTCAAGAGACATTCATCGTTAATCACTTAATAAAAATAATCATTTCTTACTTGTATAATGTTAATTACGTTTGTTTTTATTTATTATTCACTCTCAAAAGAGAGATCCGATTTGGAAAAGATCGGTGAGAGGGTTAACGTTACTTTATGTAGACGTTTTGTGTAATTCACCTTATTTTTAAGTTTTTTTTTTCTTTTCTTTTCTTTATATATATATATATATATATTTTTTTTTCATTTTTTATGTTTCTCTTTGTGGTGGTTCTTGGTGGTTCCCTCGTTCTATCCCTTTCAAACCTTTTTATTCTTCTCCTTTTTCTTGCTCTCATGGTATATTCATCTTTCCTAGCGATTTCCTAGGAATACTCTAATCGTTCCCTGTCGAAAATTAACGGCGTTTAGTCCCAGTTTTCTTTCGCTTCTCTTCGTTTCTGATTTTTAAAAAATTTTTTTATGAGCTTTACAAATGACAGCCAATGTATTATCCTATCAGAATGAAAATAAAATTAAAATTGCAAAAAAATGCACAAACCATCGATTAGATATGTGTCTTTTGATTGCTCCAACGATGTCGCGATTCGCGCGAGCACGATCATCGATGAAGCAAAGCAATTTTCAAGAGATTAGAACACGTCTAGAAAATTTGACAATTTCCAAAACTCTACATAAATGAAAAGCTTCATTTTTCGTTACAAAACTAAAATGCCAACGAAGAGGAATTTACTTACCTAAAAAAAAAAAAAAAGAAGAAGCCATCTTCGAAGAACTTTCCAGATTCATCTTGAATTGTCGATCACCAGAATATTTTTCTTCAATCGTTCGAACGAATCTCGAGTCCCACCGTTTTATATTTGATGTGTATACACGCGCACGCGAGCGCGTGGCCGCGGATAAATCTTCTGCAACAACCAATATGATTGCGTCTCAGCTATAGAATAAGGTCGATTGTTGATACAACAACGACTATACGGGAGTATAGTATCATTTAATATTAAAAAGTCGCGGCTTGCCTTGAAAATATTTCATTCGGCTTGGTCGCTTTCCTGATGGGATTCGAGACTTCGCCCTCCTCTCTTTCACTTCTTAAATTCATTCGTTCTTTGCATCATAGGACAGCTCCTCGAAGCGACACCACTCTATCCGTCATATTGACTGTCATTTGATCCAACAACATCGACATTTAATCGGCACGAATCTTCGTCTTCCAGTTCTCAAATTTCGTTCTCTTACAGCTACATCACTTTCATCGAAGTATCATCCAATTGTTCGTTTCGCAGGTGAAATCCAATCGCAATCACCCCGTGAAACCGCGTCCTCCAGATTCGGTTCGTCTTACCCTGTCCCGAGATCCTATCCCGCGAAAGGTTATTTACCGCATATTATTATTATTATTTTTTTCCTCGTTTTTATTTTCTTTACTTAAAAACTAACGCCGTTTTTAAAACCGTTTTGTCGTTTTGTCTTTTTTTCGTTTTATTTTTTTCTATTTTTTTTTTTCTTTTTATTCTTCGTTTGTTTTTAAATCAGAGATCACTCGTTACGTTTGGTAATCAGTCTATCTGGTCTGCGTAAACCTAGCCAGAAAACTCGACTCTCGAACAACTCGCTGCCTCGTTGTTTCGATCCGGTTAAGGGATCAATCTCTGCGCATCGATTTCTGTCGCGAGATCCGAAAAAGACCTATCGAAAGGAGACCGAGAAGATTCTTTTTCACTCGCAATTTTTCGAAACCGAACGATTAATGATCCAGTTTCTTTGCCAGGCCATTGAGAAAACTCGAGTTTCTCGAGATTTAGAATTTTGCGCCAAACGAGATACGTCCCATTGGCCTAATCGTATCTTGGATTCGACGCCTCCTTTTATTTTTTTAACCAACGAAGTTTAATCACTCGAGCCGCAAAGTGAAAACTTCGAGGTGGTCTCTCCTTCGAAGAGGTGTTCGTTCTACGCGACAGTCGCCACTATCGATCGATCCCTTATTCCGGATCTCTTTGGACCCTTGTACGACCTTATTTTCATCCAAACACTTTCTCTCCACTTTACAACGTTCTTTCCAATTAGCTCTCGCCTTCTCCATCATTTTTCTCGCGCACGCTAGAAACATTGTTCCCCCTCCTCCCTTATTTTCGGTTTCGTCCTGTGCCTTCCCACTCTTCCCTGACCCCCTAAGAAACGCCGATTCTCCTGGTTTTCTCAATGGAAATATCGTGATCGCGCAACAACAACAGGTGGTGCCGGTTCAAGCCTCGAACAACCAACGAGGGACTTACAGGAATTTGTACTCTTTGAATGCGTGTGTTGTTGTTGTTGTTGTTGTTGTTGTTGTCCAACGATGTTTGAACGTTTACTTATCAAGTAATAAAGATTACACGAACAACCGCCTCCAGCATCAAGGCGACTTACTTTTTTTTTTTCTTTTTTTCCCCTTAATTAATACAAGAATTTTTACGTTACGACTTTTCACGTATACGTGTTTCTTTGTTTTTTTACTCCATTTTTTGTTTTTTTTTTTGTTTTGTTTTTTTTTGGTTTTATTTTTAATTCCTTTTTTTTTTTTTTTTTTTTTTGCTTTTTTACTCGTGAGAATTCTCCGTATATGCGCGTGTGTATGTGCTCGCGTGTGTGTGTATGTCGTGTGTATATGTAATGCATATGCATGTCCTTACTTTAGAAGTGTGTACGCTTTTTTTCGTTTCCGGTTCCCTTTCCTTCTATACAGTTTTTTCTCCCTCTCTATGCATTTCCCCATCCCTTCCATTCTCTTTTGTGAGTATATATATATATATATATACGCTTGTATCTGTGTCGAAAGGTGGAATTAACGATAATAATCCCGTAGATGGTCTTCTCACACCATTTTCATTTCCTTTATTTTCCACTCGTTGTTCCTCCACCTTTCTCTTTTCCTCTCTTCTCGTTTTTCGCACAATTTACAAACACCCCCTCCTCTTTCTCCCTTTCCATTTCTCGATTTATTTCTTCTCCGTTTTTTTTTTCTTTTTTTCTTTTTTCCTTTTTTCTTCTTTCCTCGTATTCGCGATCACGGATCACCTGTACAACTGTGGCGGAAACGAAGATTCTTCTTCCTCAGAGGTGTGCACCGAAGGCGTTTCGCAATAACGAACCCTCCCTCCTCCCCCCCCCCTCCCCCTCCCCTCCCCTCCCCCACCCCTCGATGGATCATCGAAGGACGGCAGATTGTCGTGAAACAATCGTGAAAACATTGCTCCCCTACGCGTGTTCATTCCTTAAACA